CTAGTCTCATTATGTCGGTCTGGGGCTCCACGCATACGTGTCTGAACCTCAATTATGTTGTGATCTGAGTATATTGTTTTTGATATGGTGACATTTCTTATCAGATCATCATTGTTAGTGAAGATGAGGTCTAGTGTATTCTCCAGTCTAGTAGGCTCTATTATTTGCTGGTTTAAATTGAATTTTGTGCAGAGATTTAAAAGCTCGTGTGAGTGTGAGTTTTCATCAGAGCTGCCTCCTGGTGTTATTACTGCAACAATATTATTTGCTATATTCCTCCATTTTAGGTGCCTTAAGTTGAAATCCCCCAGGAGCAAGATGTTGGGTACAGGAGCTGGAAGATTTTCCAGACAGTGGTTAATTTTTAACAGCTGTTCCTGGAATTGCTGGGATGTTGCATCCGGAGGCTTGTAGACTACCACAATGACTAGGTTTTGGTTCTCGACCTTTACTGCTAAAACTTCCACTACATCATTTGAGGCATTAAGCAGTTCTGTGCAAACAAGTGACTCTGCAATGTACAGGCCAACCCCCCCCCCCTTTGCCTGTTCACTCTGTCACATCTGTATAGGTTGTAACCTGGGATCCATATTTCGTTGTCCAAGTGATCCTTTATGTGGGTCTCAGTGAAAGCCGCGAACATTGCCTTTGCCTCTGCAATCAGTCCATGGATGAAAGGTATTTTGTTGTTTGTTGCTGGCTTTAGACCCTGTATATTTGCAAAGAAGAATGTTATCGGACTGGTGGTATTGTTGGTACTGGTGGGGGATTTTTTTTCCGGCATTAGTATCTGTATCTGTTGGTTTGGAGTGGAGGCCATCGACTGTGGTTCCACTCCAGGAATGACTGGATTTGGTGTACGATTTCTGCCATTTCCTGCCAGTTTTTTTTTTCTTCCTGGCACTAAAAAACCCCTCCCTCTTGAGTGGCTGTGGCTACCCAGGTTTTCCCATGGCCTGGATGTTTTGTATCTTTTTGTCCCCTTTAGATGGTATGCCTGGCAATTTAAGTTATAGCACAGTCTTTCCTGTACTGAAGAGGTACACAGTTCAGGGTAAAAAAGCTTACAGGAAGGGAGTTTGCATTTTCCTGTTGTCATATGGGCATGGCATTTTCTAGGGTGGTCATAGTTGCACATTCCATCTGTTTTTCCAGATTTCCCATGCCAGCAGATACCAAGTGCATAGTATGTGCACAGGCTTGGTTTCCGTTTGCCTTGACTGTATTCCCTGTTGGTGCATGTTTCCCTGTCTTACTTCTATCCTCCCTAGCACCAACAATGGAGCTGCCACCAGTTGTTTTTGGTAATATATCCTCACTATTGCTAGTGGAGTCCTCTTGTTTGCTATTTCCTGCGGTATTTCTAGTTTGCAATATTGGTTTTATCTTATCTTTGACTACACTTGTTTCCCTACTATGGCTCCTGTCCCCTATGAGGTCATTTATATGTATTCCTTCCTGCATATAATTCCCGACTACCTGGACAAAATCTCCAGCTTCACCATTACTGTCTCCCAGGACAGCATCTCCAGCTTCACCATTACTGTCTCCCAGGACAGCACCTCCAGCTTCACCATTACTGTCTCCCAGGACAGCACGTCCAGCTTCACCATTACTGTCTCCCAGGACAGCACTATCAGCCCCACATTTACTGACTACCAGGACTTCATCTCCAGCCTTACAGTTTCTGACTACATGGCCAGTATCAAGGGCAGTACCATTCAGCCCAGACTTTTTATGTTCCCATCTGTTGTAGAAAGCTTCCAGGTTTTCTATGAAAGCAGCTTTGATGTTGTCCTCTTTTAATACCCTTGTGATTTTAGTCCACAGATTTATCTCATTTGGGCATACCCAAAAACACTTCCCTGTTTTAACACTGCTTGTAGCTAGTTCTTGGATATCTGCACAAGGGGCGTGACACCAATTTCCACAAAAATGACAATTTACCCAAGTGGAAGCCCGTTTGTTTGACTGACCACAGACTACACACAGCTTCATAATGATTTGAATGGTTGATTTACTGCAATTCTACTAGCAACCTCTTGAATATTCTATTAAAACCTCCTTAAATGAAGCTCTAGCTATTTGTATTTCTGTTTCTAACTGTTTTTGTATATTGGACAGCTTACAGTGCACGTTCCTGATTTATATTTAATGTTTGTGTTTATAAGGGCGCCTACAACCCCATCCGTTTACAGTCTGCTTTATTGTCCAACGAAACCATTTGAAACCAGTCAAGGGTTCGGACCAGTCAAGGTTGACCATCAGTTCGGACCAGTCGATCTGATCTGATCAGTGGGTCACTTATTTAAAACATACTGGTCGGTGATTTGAGCTAACACATGAAGGATCTACTGGAAATTATCTACCCGAGTAATATGTGATTTGATTGATACAAAAGTATAACTTGCATGTTGAAGAAACCGGTGACTGCTGGCAACTCCTACAATGATGAACGGTCGACCTCAACCCTTGTTTATCAATCGCTGTATCTAGCTTTTCTATTTTTTTTTCCGTCTCCACCACAATAAATGCTATATTATCACTATAGTTGACTGGTGGAAATTTTGGAGGAAGAACGCTTTTTCTGTAGTAATAATTGCTTCTCGTTGTGTATATTGCGACCGCTGGTAACTACAGGTTATATGAAATTCACAGTATACGTCTGGTATTTCAAGAAAAAAGAAACTAATGAAAGTCACTCCACTCCACTAAGTACCATTATAATACTGGTTAGTTGCTACTACAACACTGTATTCTGCTATTCACTGGTATCCCTAGATTATATGCGAGTACACTAGCAGGCCAGGAAGATTATTAAAAACAGCTGACCTGTGGTAAGTTTCTGGCGACTTCTGGCACATACAAACTGTTTTGATACAAGTTTCATTTATGTTTTTGATATTGTCTGTTTGTATAATAAATTTAAAAAACGGTTATTTGGTGTTTTATTAACAATTGCAAGTTTGCAACATTCAGATTCTTACTCCCTTTGTCGGGCAAGTGGGAAAATTTTCAGACTTCGGAGATTAGCAATTGCTCGAAAACTAACCATCAGAAATCCATTTACATAGGCTCATTGGCCTCGTATTGAGTTACTCTATCCACCATAGGAGTTCAGTTCGAATTTCTAATTTTATGGCCACTTGCCCGACAAAGGGTTAAGGACCTGATGTTGTAGTTAAGTACTGATAGACTTTTAGCATTGTTTAGGATAGTGCTGGCTTGTGATGCTGTGTAATAAAGGCAGCTACTTTCCAATAGGTTTTGATTGGGTGTCAGATTATGGGTGTCGGATTATGTTGACGGCAGTGAGGGGACTTGAGCTAGAGTTCGTCACGGCCATGCTAGCTGGAGATTCGTCTGTAAAAACTTGCATTTGTGGTCACAGTGGTGCCTGTGCTAACCTTCCTATGGTGTAGAAATATACCTAGTTGGATGAATCTTATTGTGGCTAGCTGGTCTAGTGGCTAACGCGACGGGCTGGAGTTTTGAGACTCTATGACCGCGGGTTCAATCCCGGCCGGGGGTATGGTTTAGTTAGTTACCATTTTGTCCTAGGCACATGTCGATTAGACACTAGGCCTGTTGTATATGTGTGTGCATGTGTGTGTGTGTATGTGTGTGTGTGTGCGTGTCGGTGTGTGTGTGCGCGCGTGTTGGTGTGTGTGTGTGTGTGTGTGTACTCACCTATTTGTGGTTGCAGGGGTCGAGTCCTAGCTCCTGGCCCCGCCTCTTCACCGGTTGCTACTATGCCCTCTCTCTCCCCACTCCATGAGCTTTATCAAACCTCGTCTTAAAACTGTGTATGGTTCCTGCCTCCACTACGTCATTTTCTAGGCTATTCCACTGCCTTACAACTCTATGACTGAAGAAATACTTCCTACTATCTCTCTGATTCATTTGTGTCTTCAACTTCCAATTGTGGCCTCTTGTTTCTGTGTCCCCTCCCTGGAACATCCTGTCTTTGTCCACCTTGTCTATTCCACGCAGTATTTTATATGTCGTTATCATGTCTCCCCTGACCCTCCTGTCCTCCAGTGTCGTCAGGCCGATTTCCCTTAATCTTTCTTCATAGGACATTCCCCTTAGCTCTGGAACTAACCTTGTCGCAAACCTTTGTACTTTCTCTAGTTTCTTGACGTGCTTTATCAAGTGCAGGTTCCAAACAGGTGCTGCATACTCCAGTATGGGCCTGACATACACGGTGTACAGTGTCTTGAATGATTCCTTACTAAGGTATCGGAATGCTGTTCTCAGGTTTGCCAGGCGCCCATATGCTGCAGCAGTTATCTGATTGATGTGTGCTTCCGGAGACATGCTCGGTGTTATACTCACCCCAAGATCTTTCTCCTTGAGTGAGGTTTGCAGTCTTTGGCCACCTAGCCTATACTCTGTCTGTGGTCTTCTGTGCCCTTCCCCTATCTTCATGACTTTGCATTTGGCAGGATTAAATTCGAGAAGCCATTTGCTGGACCAGGTGTCCAGTCTGTCCAGGTCTCTTTGAAGTCCTGCCTGGTCCTCATCAGATTTAATTCTCCTCATTAACTTCACATCATCTGCAAACAGGGACACTTCTGAGTCTAACCCTTCCGTCATGTCGTTCACATATACCAAAAATAGCACTGGTCCTAGGACCGACCCCTGTGGGACCCCGCTCGTCACAGGTGCCCACTGTGATACATCATTACGTACCATGACTCGTTGTTGCCTCCCTGTCAGGTATTCTCTGATCCATTGCAGTGCCCTTCCTGTGTGTGTGTGTGTCTGTGTGTGTGTCTGTGTGTGTGTGTCTGTGTGTGTGTGTCTGTGTTAGTTACCATTTTGTGTGTGTGTGTGTGTGTGTGTGTGTGTGTGTGTGTGTGGTGTGTGTGTGTGTGTGTGTGTGTGTGAGAGAGTTTAATTTAACATTATTGGTTGTCAGTGACAGAGGTGGTTGTAAGTAATTTAGACATAACTATTTGTAGCAATATTGAGACTTAGACACATTTCTCCCACAGAGTGGCAAGTCTGGGGGCTACTACATGACTCACTCCTACCCTCCTGGTACCCCACAAGCCAACGCTGGGGTAGCACCCATACCCCGCGGTGGGGGTCCCAGGCCTCCTTATACCTCTGGTGAGTACCCACACACTCTCCACCTCTATGGGTTTAGCACATTTTATTACTGTAATGACCACTGCCTCTACTGTGGGTTCCAGTTCCTGGACCCATTATGTACCTCTGTAATGTTTTGACTACCGTCCACAAGATGGCTATGCGGTGCATAATAAACATATTAAACTAAACCTCTATTTCCTGCTGCACACATACATTCATTTTCCCTAATTTCTGGTCCCTCTTCACTTTCTCTTTCATAATTTCAACTTGCATTTCTAGTCATTTACATTAATTTACATTTAATTTACCGAACATATTAGTATCTTTACTTAATTTTTCAAAGTTAAATATCCCTGTTTAATTGTTCTGTTATGTCTTCGGTGACTTTTAACTGAGTGGCAGTACATTCGGTTTACAAACGAAGGACCCAAGTTAAATCCTGGGCAGGTCAAGACATACCTGGAGTCTACCTGGAGAACATGTAGACAAGTCTGTTTACACTTGTTGCCCATGTTCATCTTGCAGTAAATATGTACCTGGGTGTTAGTTGTGGGTCGCATCCTGAGAAAAAGATGGAAGGATCCCAATGGTAATGAGCCACACTGCTTGACTTTCTTGGCTTAATTCTTCTCCCGTGTATTTAACAATTCAAAAAACATTTCTTCTGTCTGATCTTGTTTAATTTTTTATTTCTTAAACTATTTGCTTTTTTTTTCATGGTGCGATAGCAACTCTGTTTAAACCTACTTAAAGGTAGGTAGACCTATTCTGTCATAATTTTTCTTTTCATTTTCTGGGACGCCACTCACATAATGCCTTATGTCGTTCATTGTAAAGATGCACACACATTTCCTGCTCAGTGCTTGGTAGCCATTACGTAAGTGGCGTGGTGTAAGGGTGGGTGGTGGTGCACCCACTGTAAGACACCAGTACACATTATTTACATAAGTGGTAAACATGTCTCAGAGCTGGTGAGTGAGGCTCCCACCCATTCTATAATATCCTGGCTGGGCCAAAACCTTCAATCATAGTCCATAACACTAACATGCTGGGTCAGTCACATGTGTAGCGATAACTGCTTCATTCTGCATGCTAGTACCAGCTCACAAGATTGTTTATTATGTCATGCACAACAAACACAAGGTATACTCATAGTTGGTGAGTGAATCTCAAAACTAAGTCATAATGTCTTGCCTAGGCGAAATTTTTAATGTTGGTTTCCTGTGAGATATAATGTTCATAAATACACATATTAACCTTTAAAATTTTAAGCATATTGAAAAATCTGTTAGACTTACAGCATGTAGAATCAACCTGAATGACTTACTAAGTGGTATACAGTACCGACAAGTTGATGAATTTGACACATCTTGACTGAGAGACTTTCTCCCACCAGGGGGGCTTATCAACTTAACACAGACGTGACAGCTAGTGGGTCCTGTCCACATGGAACCATGTTTAACAACTGTAATTTAAACCATGTTTAACAACAACTGTCTCCAGTCTCATGTGCCTAGTGTGTAGTGGAGCAGGGCACCAACATGCGACAGTATAATAGCTGTGATGTTAGTACTCGTACACAACATGTAAGACATCATATCAGCTGTGATGTTAGTAAATGGGCTGGAGCCTCACTGCCAAGCTGTGTGATATACTATGTGTAAATATACTCTAGGACTAGTTGTTTGAGCTAACCTAAGTTGTGTTGTCTCCATAACAACACCCTTGACCATGACAGTTCTTGTGGTGTTCACAGCTGGGGGCGGGGCACCCCCTAAACCGCAGCGGTACGCGGGCGCTGCGGTTGGCCCGGGAGGGCCGGTGGGCGGACCTGTGGGCGGGCCGGTGGGCGGGCCGGTGGGCGGGCCAGCAAGCGGGATGAACATGAAGGGTGGCTTACGGGCGTGTGTCCCCCCGCCTGGGCCTCCTACAGGACCTCCTGACGGTCCTCGTCCACAACACATGGCTCGCTCCTTCTCCTACTCCTCCTCCAGCGCCTGCCCACTGAGGCTTGATCTTCTGTACTCCTCCCAGGGTCAGTGCCACCTCCCTTGTGCCACCAGCGGCAGCCTGCCTGCTTCCCCTGCCACCACTCTTGTGACAACGGCATCCTGCCACTCCTGCCTGCCTGCTACCCCTGGCACCCTGCTACCCCTTCCACCATCCTTGTGTCACAAGCGGCAGCCTGCACCTCTGCCTGTCTGCCTGCCTGCTTGCTACCCCAACCACCACTTGTGCCACAGGCAGCGGCCTACCACCCCTGCCTACCTACCTGATACCCCTGCCACCGCTCTTGTTCTACCAGTGGCAGCCTGCTACCCCTGCCTGCCTTTCTGTCACCCCTATCAGCCTGCCTGCCTACCACTCCTATCTGCTTGCCTGCTACCACTTATGCTACCAGTGGCAGCCTGCTACCCCTGCCTGCCTGCTACCACTCTTGTGCTACCAGTGGCAGCCTACTACCCCTGCCTGCCTGCCTGCCTGCCTGCCTGCCTGCCTGCCTGCCTGCCTGCCTGCCTGCCTGCCTGCCTACCTGCCTGCTACCACTTTTGTGCTATTAGTGGCAGCCTGTCACCCCTGCCTGCCTTTCTGCCACCCCTATCAGCCTGCCTACCTACCACCCCTGCCTGCCTACCACTCCTGCCTACCTGAAGTCTACCTGGAGGGTATTCCGGGGATCAACGCCCCCATGGCCTGCCTACCACTCCTGCCTGCCTGCTTACCACCCCTGCCAGCCTACCTACCTACCACCCCTGCTGGCACCTGCCTGCCTGCTCACCACTCCTGCCTGCTTACCACTCCTGCCTGCTTGCCTACTTACCACTCTTGCCTGCTTACCACTCCTGCCAGCCTACCTACCTACCACCCCTGCTTGCACCTGCCTGCCTGCCTGCCTGCCTGCCTGCCTGCCTGCTACCCTTGCCGGCCTCTGCCTGCCTGCCCGCCACTCCTGCCTACCTGCTTACCACTCCTGCCTGCTTACCACTCCTACCTGCTTGTCTGCTTACCACTCCTGCCTGCCTGCCTGCTTATCACTCCTGCCTGCCTGCCTGCCTGCTTATCACTCCTGCCTGCTTGCTTACTACAACTGCCTGCCAGCTTACCACCCTTGCCTGCTGATCACCCCTGCTTGCATCTGCCTGCCTGCCCACCTCTCTTTCCTGCCTGCTGACCACCCCTGCCTGCCTACCTACCTACCACCCCTGCCGGTCTCTGCCTGTCTGCCCACCACTCCTGCCTGCCTGCTTACCACTCCTGCCAGCTTGTCTGCTTACCACTTCTGCCTGCTTGTCTACTTACCACTCCTGCCTGCTTGTCTGCTTACCACTCCTGCCTGCCTACTTACCACTCCTGCCTGCCTACTTACCACTCCTACCTGCCTGCTTACCACTCCTGCCTGCTTACCACTCCTGCCTGCTTACCACTCCTGCCTGCTTACCACTCCTGCCTGCCTACCACCCCTGCCTACCTACCTATCTACCTACCGCCCTTGCTTGCATCTGGCTGCCCGCTTACCACTCCTGTCGGCCTCTGCCTGCTTGCTTACCACAACTGCCTGGCTGCCCACCACCCCTGCCTGCCTGCTTACCACCACTGCCTGCCTGCCTACAACCCCTACCTGGCTGCCCACCTCCCCTAAATGAATGCCTACCACCCCTGCGTGCCTGCCACCCCCGCATGCTTGCCAACCCCCTGCATGCCTGTCACTCCCCCGCATGCCTTCCAACCCCAGCATGCCCACCACCACCACCACCACCACCACCACCACCACCACCCATCATCACACCACCACGATCACACACCACCACCATCACTGCAACTACTACCACTGTCACCACCACCACCACCACCAATACCACCTGTGCCACACTGCATCACCACCACCAGCGCCACCACTAGCATCACCACCAGCATCACCATCACCACCAGCACCACCACCACCAGCACCACCACCACCAGCACCACCACCACCAGCACCACCACCAGCACCACCACCAGCATCACCACCAGTATCACCACTGCCACCACCACTATCACTACCACCACTACCACCACTAAACCCACTACCAATAAACTCACCATCACCTCCACTACCAGTGCCATCATCTCCACCAGTGCCATCACCACCACCAGTGCCACCAATGCCATCACCACCAGTCCCATCACCCTAACCATCAGCACCATCATCATCACCTCCACCAGTGCCATCACCAATGCCATCACCCTAACCATCAGTGCCATCACCATCACCACCAGTGCCATCACCAATGCCATCACCCTAACCATCAGTGCCATCACCATCACCACCAGTGCCATCACCTCCAGTGCCACCACCACCAGTGCCATCACTTTCACCACCAGTGCCATCACCTTCACTAGTACCATCACGTCCACTAGTGCCATCAGTGCTGTCACCTCCAGTGCCATCACCTCCACCACCAGTGCCATCACCTTCACTACCAGTGCCATCACTTCCATCAGTGTCATCACCACCACTACCATCACTGTTATTGCCACCACTATCAGCACCATCAACACCAGTTCCACTATGACCAACACTACCACAACCACCACTGCCTCCACCACTACCATCATCACCACAAATCTCACCATCACACTCACTAACACCATCACCACAGCTTCTACCACTAGACTCATCACCACACCACAGTCTTTAACACATGTACAATCACCACCACCACCACTACTACTACTAATACACATACACTCAGTGGCCACTTGATTAGGTACACTTGTACACCTGCTCATTAATGCAAATATCTAATCAGCAAATCAGGTGGCAATACTTCAGTGCCTAAAAGCATGAGCACATGGTCATGAGGCTCACTTGTTGCTTAGATAGAATATCAGAATGAGGAAGAAGTGTAATGATCTAAGTGACTTTGACCGTAGAATGATTGTGCCAAACGGGATGGCTTAAGTACTTCACAAACTGCTAATCTTCCAAGATTTTCACACACTACGAGTCCCTAGAGCAGCCGAACCCTAGAAATAAT